TTCCAGATTGCCCCCCCCCTTCCCGCTCGAGCCACATTGCGCTCACCAGGAAAACTCTCCTATGGGATGATAGCACACTCCGCAATCAAGTGCCTTTCTAAGGATCTAAGTAAAACGGCAGCTTGACTCTTCCGGGTTTGACAGATTCTGAACCGCTCAATAGATACTACCTTTCACTTATTTGGACAAATTCACTTAAAGCATTGAGAAGTAGGAATTCTGAAGCAGGAGTTGGGAAGACGGAAAAGCGAACGACAGCAGTCAATGAAATGTGTAAAAAAATTATTTTTCACGTTATGCAAACAAGGCTTTTCAAAAACGCTTTCATCTGTGGCCAAAAACTCTTGTAGATTATGACGATTAATACTTGTTACTTCTCCTAATTGAAGGAAACATGTATTTTCAATGTTGTTGGCAAAACGACGCCGATGACTAGTAGCGGAATTAAAGAAAACAACCGAGACGCACTCTGAAGCTTGGCAGTCCAGAAAGGCAGAAGATTAATCTGATTATAATCTCGCCGTATTCAACATCATCCTCATCAACCATTAACAAATCGATGTCTAAGAACCACTGATGCTTCTTCTTGTTCCTGTTCTTCACTATCGGACTTCTGCGATGATGCTGACAGTCTTCTGCTTTTAGCGCTCATACTGGTGAACGAAGAGGACCAGATTTTCTGAACGATTCGTGACGGTTTTCTCCCGTACTGTAGTTCTTCCCGCTGATTCTGGAAAACCATCAGAACAGTGTCAATCCAGGCGCAGGCTTGAGGGGGGGGGGCGGCAGCAGGAAATTCGAGTCAGGGGGAATGTAACCATTCAGGGGGGGTCAGAGGTGAGGGCAGTCACTTAACATGCGTGAGAAAGCTGGAATGTTCCGTGAGAAGCTGGAATGTTCGAATTTGCAAATACTTCTAAGGGCGATGGGACCAGGGTGAAAATCGTGTCGAGTACGTGGTCGCAGAGGTACGACCCCCCCCCCGAAATCGAGATCCTGGCACGACCCCCTCTAACAGAGCAAATTAATTCAATTAAAATAAATCCTGCAAAACAAATCAAAAAAAATTCTGCAAAATAATGCTAAGGACGCTTCATCTTGTCATCTATGCACGTCTTCCATCGCTGCATACTTTTGTGTACATACTGAAATATCGACTCGAGGAAAGAGGCATTAACTTTGTGTGGCCTCAAGGCGAGGTTCAGGCATCACCCACTCAAAGTACAATAACGTTCAGAAACGCACAGAAATCCTGAAGACACGGGGTTGCGATTCAATCTTGATTCTTGCTTGAGTATATCAAAACAGCCGAGTGTATCAAAGGCCGATTCAACGGCAGCTGCGGCGCGATTGTCACTGGGTCAGATTTGCCGAAATTTCAAAAAAAAACGTCCGAATCTACACCCTCGATGAAAAGGTTGCATTCCTCCATTTCACAACCTTTGAAGCAGCTTGAGGTAGAGTTAGATAGAGCTGGATTTCGCGTTTCCAACAAGCATCGAAATTGCTCTGGAAGCCTTCCTTGCAGAAAGATAGGGTCTGTCAAATTTCGTCGAGTAAATGTCGAGGAGGCCCAAATTTTCACGCGAGTTTTTGCCACTTCAAGAGCAATATATCTCTTATATTGTAAGATCCTGAAAAAGGGAAGGTAGTTTTGGAAAGCGGAAGGTTCGCGCTTCCTGATGGTCTGTTTAGTTTTCTTCTACAGCTTTTTGGTTGAAGAGATAATTGCGTCGAGGATCTATCGAGGTCGGATCCGGCCACCTGGAAATCCGCTCCCTCATTCACCATTGCAAGTGTGACTCGTTGGCAACACTCGGAATGTGTCTAGAACAATATCTTTGAACGCAAACAATAAGAATAGGAGCAATCGTCATCATCCGATTTGGTATTGGTATAAGCCATGCATCCCTCCTCCACTCACAGTTGCAGAATCGATTGAAAGGTGTTATATGATGGGGACCTTCGAACGAAACTGTACTGTAGTAGACATAGTGTGTTGTGCTATTCCTGTAGCCTAAAAACAACTTCATTTGCCCAGCGCTTTTTCTTCACGGTTGTCGTTTTTCCGACAGGGTCCCTAACAACAGCGTCATTCTCAGCGAGGTATTAAGGGAGAAGGAGCGAGTGATAGGTGCCTTTGCAGCGCGTGCGCACATGTGGCACTCTTCTTTGCGGGGATGCACTTTCATTCTTTGTACTGCCTTCAAATACGCCCTTCTCATGAAGGTGGAGGAATGGAGCGACTGAACCTGCAAAGAAAATTTAATATCATGTTTTTTTCGGATGTTTTCATTTTCTGCTGCGCTATACCCTATTACCTATCTGCACCATGATACCACTTCTGTTACTGACCCCCAAGAGTACGACCCCCCATGGACCAGCCCAACAGGTACGACCCCCCTGTCGAGGATTTCCTCGACCGATATTCACCCTGGTCCGACCCCCCCCCCCTCCCCTCTCCGAGCCACTTGCGCCGTCGATCCATTACATTCAATTACACCAAAAGCACACTTCCATTGAACGACAACGGTACAGAATTCTGAACAGCCTGCGCATGTTCGAGCGTGGGATAGGATGCTCGTGGTGCACTTGCAGACAGAACGTTTTATTTCACGTCGACGGAATCGTTCCAAGATTTATCCACGTTCTCATTTCAATGGGGAAGAGGTGGAGTCCCTGCTTAAATGCTTTATCGGCTGTTTTCTTCGCTTTTCCATCTATAACTTCATTATAAACCGTTTTTACCCCGCGAATTCGATTTGGAATCTGTTGCGTTGAATAGTCAATTGAATAGCTAGTATCTATAACACCTTGGAGCCCACGCAGCCCATATGTGGGCTGCAGTCCTCCGACCGCATAGGACCTTTCAGCTCGCATTTCGGAAACAATTATTAGGTTTTTCATTCATTTTCTTTTCCATTTTATCCGATAAGATTTCTTCTGCATTATACAGTGGGTTCTTCTTTTGAATTTGCTAGATAAGATCCCTAAAAATTTCACCGAAGTCCCGCGCGGCCGCGGAACGTAAAACACGCGCGGTCTCCAAAGTGTTAAATAACAACTGGTACGAATTTTCACTCGAGCCTAATCTACTAATGTAGGTTCGATTTGTAAAAGCAACGACATAAAATAAGGTCATAATAATCTATTTGTCGTTTACAGAAAAGAGAACGTTTTGAACACCAATATTCGGAAATTAATGTGCAATATCTGGTGCATTAACCTGCACGATTAAAATGCTCATTTGAAAGATACAGCGACTTAATTTCGTCTTATCACAAACAATTTGATCTCAGACTGAATAGCAGAAAACAACAAAAAATATAGGTACATGTGTGAGTAGCAATAGATGCCACAACAAAAAAAGCAAGCTTCTGTCGACGAGTTCACCATCGCCATAATTTCAAAACAAGACCACGTTGATAGTGGACGTAATGACCGCGAGAAATGACTTAACAAATACTACATTTCTTCTAACAAACCCGCACAAAACGATGCTACGTTAGTCACCTCACAAAAGACAGGCGTCCCGATGATGCAACAAGCAAGGCAAACAACTTCTAAATATGTAGAATGCTAAATTGGGCATGAAATTAAGAGCAGCAGCCGAGCATACCGCTGCCAAAAGATATCCCAAACAATCATATGGGAAAACGATTACAGATAAAGATAGGTAAACTGGGGGATGCCCAATTCGAAACACACTATGGAATAATGCTTTGAATAACAACACTAGAACCTATCACTAGATCATTGTAGTAGACAGTCTCAACGCTTCGGAACACGGCAATATAACACTTCTATGCAAATGGTAATAGAAGGCAAGTACTAAATTACAATGTTTACATTTTCGCTATCGTGAATGGAATTTGAGACAGACCTGGCAAATAGTTCAGATTGGTCGCACTCAGAATTACCCGAGATGATAATGATGAACAATTACACCTGAAGCGAAAAATAATGTTTCATGAATTAGTTCAGCTAGAAACAAAGCCAGTGTTTGAGACACTTACCATGCTGATAGTAACATTAATCCCGAGGTTTCCATTTTCTAAAATTGAGAGCAATCAATTGGAGCAAGATTCAATCTGCTTAGCCACAAGTTTAATTAAAAAATCTTAACGACATACCCGCAAACAGCTGAGCCGTAGGAGTGTCAAAGGCAAGGCAATCTGATAGCTGAATTGCATGAGCTACACCTTCATGAATAGAACGTGGTGTAGCTTCCCAACAAAGGCGACGACGATGTGTAGACAATTCCAAACTAAAAGGAAATGCATATATCAGTGAAGCTAAAGAGAATAAGTTTGGGAGAACAGCAGCATTCAAAAAATGCTATTCCGACCCTAAATGAAAATAGAGAAGGAAATGGGGTTCAAACAGAAGCATCACAAACACTTGCACAAAATAATCGCCTTGACCCATTATGACTTGATGTAATTAACTTTGCAGTATCTTTTAGTTACAGCTGAAAATTGTGCGCTCTGTTCTATCACATACCGGGAAAGATTTTTCACTTCTGAAACATGTTGCTTCGGCCTTTAACACGTTGACGACAGCGCAGGACACATACGTCCCGCACTTTGCAGGCCATGACGGACAGCGCGGGACGTATGTGTCCTGCACCCATTACACTCATTTTTTTCGCGCACGCGTGATTCTTTTTAAGTTTCTTGTATTCATTCCATGGAAGAGACCTTGACGTAGCTACAAACATAGTGGCTCTTAGAATGGTCACGTATACTTT